TTGTTACAAAGAAAAACTCCGTAAGCAACAAAAATTAAAAATATACAGACAAAATCCTAATCATGAAAATTTTACGAATTATAAAAATGCCAAACGAACTTATAATAACTTAATTAAAACTAAAAAGAAAAACTACCTTCGTAGAATCGAATTAAATTTGATTAACAACACTAATAATAGCAAAGTATTCTGGAATACTATCAAAAAATTTCGAACAAAAGATAATTTAGGAAGGAGTAACATTGGAATAAGTTTTGAAACTTGGAAAAAATTCTACCAAAAGTTCACCATAAAAAATATACAAATTCCAACAGGTAAAAATTTCTATTGTGATGAGTATTTAAATGATGACATGACTATGAACGAACTGGAAGAAGTTATTCAAAAAATAAAGAACAATACTACTCCAGGAGACGATAACATACCAACTAAATTCTTAAAAATCCTGTCAACAGACTCCAAAATAAAACTACTGAAATTATTTAATACAATGTATAAAACATTATCCTATCCTGAATCATGGAATTCAATAATAATAACGATGATCTACAAAAAGGGAGACCAAATGTCTCCAGAAAATTATAGACCAATAGCCCTGTTATCTACACTCAGAAAATGTTTTACGTCGATACTGGCAATAAAGTTTCAACAGTGGATTAAAACTTATGAGTTGGAAGCAGAATTTCAATTTGCTTACACAAAAAATAAAGGCACAGAATCTGCATTATTTACCTTAATGATGATTATTCAGATATACTTATTAAAAAAACATAGAAAAATATACGCTGCTTTTATAGATATAACAAAGGCCTTCGATTCAGTATATGTACCATTACTTCAAAAAAAACTCAAGGAAAATGGTGCAAGTTCTCAATTTATAGAAACAATATCATTATTATATCAAAACTACAAAATAAAGATTAAGCAAAATAAGAATATTCTTTCACCAATAAGGCATTCACGTGGTGTTCTTCAAGGTGACCCATTATCCCCATATCTATTTAACTTTTATCTGGCAGATATAGATCATATTTTCTCTAAAGCAGAAGATGGAATAATTATAGGAAAGAAAGCATTTCATTATATACTGTTTGCGGATGATTTGGTTGTGATAGCGCCGACAAAAATCTCACTCCAAAGGAAAATAAATCAAATAAATCTGTATTTTAAGTCCAAATATTTAGCAATTAATCCTAGTAAAACTAAAATAATTATCTTTCGGAATAACAGTAAAATATCTATCAACGAAACAAAAATTTATCATGAAAAAATTTTGCTACAGACAGTGAATGAAATAAATTACCTAGGAGTTAATTTCGATTGGAATCTAACATTTAAATCGCATATATCTAAACTTAAAAATAAAGTTAAGCAAGCAATAGACAATCTTCTATTTTTATGTAGTAAATTAAAAACTTCAGATTTAAGAATACATATGAAACTTTATAGTTCGATCATTAATCCAATGTTATTTTATGCTAGCCCTATTTGGTGCTTGGACTATATCTACCATCTCGAACAATTCCACATATATTATCTACGCAGACTATTTCACATAGAAAGAACAGTACCAGGATATGCACTACGTCACGAAACGAATCGAATATGGTTATTTCCGTTTATATTAAAGCGAATTATCAAATTTTTTTATAAACTTAATTTCAACGGTGATAACAATTTAACTACTTTATATCAAGAAAATATAAGACAAAGTAAACTACAAAAAAATAAACAACTATGGTATAATAAGTTGCAAACTATTTTTAACTCCTTTGGAGTATCAGATCTATTATTCAAGGACAAAATTCAAGATTGGAAATCAGGATACTCATTGATGTTAGAATCAGCTATAGCTCAATCTATAATTAAAGATCAGAATTCCCTATACAACAGTAAATATCATCCGTGGTACTTGGAAATATTTGAAATTCCTTCAATGCAACCATATATATGGCAACCAGTAAATTTGAATATAAAACGACTTATAATGCAACTTCGTCTAAACAAAAATTCGCTGTATGTCAATAATACTTATATAAGTTTATTAACTAAATGTTTTCTATGTAACGTCGACGTTTTAACACCTTATCATTTAATATTAACGTGTCCAAAGTTAAAGGAAATTCGTGCACATTATAATATAAACAGCTCTTATAATTGCAACTCGCTAATAGAATTGTTAAAAAAATTTAATAATATGAGTAAAAAAGAATTATATAATATTTATAATTATTTTTGTAAAATAATAGAAACTTATAATAACAAAACAAATTAAATTAAAGAATATGTGAATATGTACGCAAGTAATAAGTGCAAGTTAAACAATTAATGGAAAAATATTGTTTTATTAAAGATAAATATGGATATATGTAACTACAACCCCTTGTAATAGGGAAGTAATTCCCAATAGACAATTTATTAAATATAATAATAATAATATTTATTAACTATAAAAATGTAATAAGTTTTACCAAATTTTTCCAAAAACAAACTATTGCCATGAGAATTTACTTATAAAAATTATCCAGTTCATTTGAATATAGCAAAAATAACTTACAGAAAGTAACAGTCTCCACTTGAAACTGGTATATTCTCTACTGCATTTTTCACATCGATATAAACCATTATTCATATCAATAACTTGTTTATTACATTGATCTCCAGGACATGCCTAGAATTAAAAAGTTAATGAAAATAAATAAATTAAATTTAATAGTTTAAAATAAGCAATTTAATAAAAATTCTTACCATGTACATACACTTGTCTCGTTTCACCATAACAATAGTTGCTTTAGTAATATAATATTCAGGCTTATCACTACTACCCAACATTTCAGCTTTTGCTTGAGCAAATGTTTTCCATGTTCCACCTAAATCCAAAAATCAACAAAAAAACAATTTATAACTTTTTATTACTTGTTTGAATGCGTTTTCATCTATACATACCCAATGATCCAGAAGTCTGATTAGACAGGGACTGTGTAGTAATGTGAGCACCTTCTCTGTCATACCATCCTCTCAAAATGTGAGCCTCTCGAATATCTGGATTAATTTGTAGTAAACTTGCGCTTATCATGGATAATGATTTTCCTAAATTTGGAATCAAATAAACAAACAATAGATTTTATTTTTCAAAATTACCTTACACTACATTAATACACTAATAAATTATTTTGTAGATTTTATCCATTTAAATAATTTAGCTAATTTTTACTCACAAGGCAATCCTACGGATTTGGGGAAACGGATTTTGATGATCTTTGGTGTAGAGGTAGTACACCATGTGAGTGTACTACCTGTAAAATACTAAAGTGCAACACTCAAATATAATCGAGAAAAATGAACTTAAAGTTTTCTTTAACACTTTATATATAAGTTACGTGTACTACCACTTGAGGGTGCTGTGGCATGAGTGGTAACACTCCTGACTCGTACGCTTATGTGCTCTGATTCGATTCTCTTGTTGTGTATACTTTTTTCTGTTTTTTTTTATTCATAAATACTTATAATATATTCATTTATTTACTAATTCATTTAATTCTTATTATTTATTGATTTTTTGGTTTTTTTTATAATTTTGTGTCGTTTCGACAAAGTGGTCTTACATCCAAGAATCAATCAAATGATATTTATCAAAAATAGTTCCACAACGTTCAACATCTTTCGCCCATAATTTTAAATGCTCCATTTTTTTTTCAAATGACTACATCCTTTTTTTGTAATGTTTTTAGTTTCCACATAGGGTGGGCTTTTGCTACTTTTAAAACTTTGATTTTATATTCCAGTGAAATATATTCCTTCATTCTATATTTTTTTTTCATCAGGTACATAGTCATCAGATGAATCATCTTTAACTGCTTTGAAATTTCCTTCTGTATACTCTTCTTGAGCATAAATCAATTCATCATCAATTATAAAGTTTTTTCATTCAATACATCCAATGTATTATTGTATAATTCTGTGCCTATCACCATAGCATCTTCAGATAGTGTATCAGAAGATGATGTTACAATTAAATTATTTTCGAAAAGTAAACTCTCATAATACACTACTCCATCTTTTAGCCGCTGCTTCGATACATCACTGTATAAAGAGTTATCATCAACAGTTTTTTCATCACAACGTGAAGAACTTGCTTCTCTTGATATTTTTTTAATTATAAAATAATTTTTCAAAATAAATTTTACTGCACAAATACATCTATTCGTGTTGAAATTCAGAAACGAACTGTTAAAGAACGAGTGAAAAAGACTATAGACCCATGTTCAAACCTGGCATAAGTAGCTCCCTCTCAACTTGACAAAGGCATGTTTTCAAACTAAAAATACTAGACTTGGAATAGTAGAAATTAAATTAAAATAAATAAATAAATAAATAAATACCAAAAAATCAATAAATAATAAGAAATAAATGAATGAGTAAATAAATGAATACATTATAAGTATTTATGAATTAAAAAAAATGGAAAAAAGTATAAACAACAAGAGAATCGAATCAGTGCATACGAGTCAGGAGCGTCACCACTCATGCCACAGCACGTTCAAGTAGAAGTATGCGTAACTTATATATAAAGTGTTAAAGAAAACTTTAAGTTCATTTTTTCTCAATTATATTTGAGTGTTGCGCTTTAGTATTTTACAGGTAGTACACTCATACGGTGTACTACCTCTACACCAAAGATCATCAAAATTCATTTCCCCAAATCTGTGGGGTTGCCTTATCAGTAATGAATGCAATTTTATCTTCATATAAATAAATTTTTTGTATTATTGATATTTAACTGCATAAAAAAATTATTTTTATTTTGTAAAAATATAATACTGTATATGTAATTACTCTGATATACATAAATTAAGCTGAAAAAACTAAGCAGTCAAACACCTTTAAAATGCAGTCTTTCTATTACCTCATCTAATGTTTTCGGTCTGTTAATTGTCCTTCTTCAGGAAATAATCGAAAAATTTGATTTTTATTGAATGAAACCTGAAGAATAGGCTTCATTCGGTAAAAATCGAAACCTAACTTCTAATAAGTTTTGTTTGGTAAAAATTGTTATATGAGGTAATAAAAAAGTCTGCATCTCAAAAGCTTTTGAAGGTTTAGTTATTTGTAAGTGCAGTTAGAGAACTGTATAATAAGCTGGACTATTAAAAACAGATTACTAAGGTTACATGGTTTTCATGCAATTAATTAGGATCTATACAAATTTTCTGATTAATATAAGCAATGAATTTCCTAAAACTAGTCTAAGAATCCTACACAAAGGATTATACAAAAATATAAATTTGATTATAGAAAGTACAGATAGGGGGTAGAACCAAAATGCTTTGACCTAAAAGATCTGTTGTGCACCTCATGATGAATTACTTCAGAAGTCCAATCTCTTTAAAGAAAAACAGCACATCTCTAAAGGAAACGGATATATTACCGTGTCTCAGAAAGTTTCCAAATGAACAAATCTGCCCGAGTAAAGCTCTAGACTCACAAATGAGATGCAGAGGTCTCAGCAGAGCAATAAAAGCAGCAAAAGGCTGAGAAATAAAAGTTTAGTCAACACAAATGTTTACAAAATTTATCAAAATCAGTCATACTGACAAGAATTACTGGTTTCGGTCAAGAATAAAAAAGATTGAAATTATTATTTTTTTATTATATGAAGAATGATGTTCAAATACTTGCAATCATTAGTGCATTACAGAAAATGTTCTAAAAGATTTCTAACCCCTAAATATTAGCTAATGCTTTAGTTTTGTTAATTAATATAATAGTAGAATACAAACACTTTAATTTACAGAAGTCCTTTCTGTAGATAAATGTTTGAAAGTGTTCTCATCTTCAGATCAAATGCAAACTTAAATTTTCAAATTTATTTATCAAACAATATTCTTAAACATTTTAAGGTGCCCCAAATTTATTTGATAACTAAATGGTGCAAAATAAATAATGTTCTTTCTGTAAAAGAGCATTTTTAGAATTAAGTTTCCAGTAGATTGTTACTCTAATATGCATACTTGACAATGGAGTATAATTAATAAAACTGGTGAAGACAATTAAGTTCAAAAATCTCATTATACTGGTCTAATGCAGGGGTGCACAACCTGCGGCCCGCGGGCCACATACGGCCCCTTATCAATGTTTATGCGACTTGTCTCGTTTCACCATAACAATAGTTGCTTTAGTAATATAATATTCAGGCTTATCACTACTACCCAACATTTCAGCTTTTGCTTGAGCAAATGTTTNCAGCCATTGCATTAATCGCTTGGGGGTCCGGCCCCCAGTCAGTAAACTTAATCCTAATTTGGCCCTTCTTCACAAAAGGTTGTGCATCCCTGTCTAATGAGATTTTTTAACTTTTTACTGCTTGATTTATGTTGAATAAATTTGATGATTTCACATTTGTATTTGATCTGAAGATGAGTTTCTCAGACATTTACATCACTGAAGTGAATTTTATCAATCAAATATGGAGTCAGAGGAAAGAATACTACAGGCAAGAAAAAAATTTGTTTGATAAAGAGGATTAACTGGCTTGCAAATGAATAATAAAAATATTTTAGTGGTGGAAAACTATATCAAAAATCTTAAAAGAAAAAATTAAATGTGGAAACTAGATGATTTTCTAGATTAAAATGTAAATAATTTGACAATTTTGATAAATGTAATATTATTATTATTATTATTATTGATAACATTAAATAATATAAAGAAAGATCATTCAACAGATTAAAAAATTTTTAATTATATACATTCTTTTGTAAGCTATAATGCTTGAATGTACACAGTTATTAATAAAAAACATTACTTTTAATTTTATGTATTAAAAATCTAATAATAAATCTTATTTAAAAAAAGTAAAATGTACAGTCCTTTAATAATAGCTCTTTCATAAATCATAGATCAAGTAAACTGTCCAAACAACTAATTATTATGTTTTAACATAATAATTAGTTGTTTTTAAAAGTTAATAAATTTTTTCATATAAATATTACATAGAGATATCAGTAATAAAATTTATATTAATATAAAAAGCAAGAAACTTATTATAATATGATGTTAAATACAAAAAATTTATTTTTAATAATATTGCTTAATATAATATTATCAAAAATAATTTGATATTTCTATAAACTTGCCTCCAAAATCTGAAACACGAACACCTTTAACGGCAATAATTGGATTATCACTGCTATCAAATTTTTCAGCCTGTAATATAAGATTTAAAATATGTGAAAGTACAAAATTTCAGTTTTCTTACATTGATTGAAAAAATATTTTTATATACTTACATCAGCTCCCCAAAGAGTGAGAGACACTTCTACTCCACTTTTATCAACCAAATGAACATCACGTTTCTTAAATTCCTTATTTGTATTTCGGGATGTTATTGTTTGAACATCCGAAGCATTCTTACAGACACCAATAACATCTATAAAAAATATATTTTAGATTTTCTAAACATAACATACAAGGTGATTCAAAAAGGACTTTGTAACTTTGAAAACATGTAAAATTTTAATCAGAAGTTTTGCAAAAATTGCAAGTTGAGATATTAATCTATAGCAAACACATCAAGTTTTAACACTTTGGTTTGAAGTGAGTGCAATTGATAGATACAGCAGACATTCCATCTAAATTCAATTTCTTGCCAAACTCAAAGTAGCATATTTTTTTGTCACTTTGGTAACTGTGACATTAATTTGAGTTTTGGGCTCAAAGATTTGCAGGCAAGGGTGGAATCAATACTAATCTTTAATAAAATTTCAGGAAAAACTGAGGTGTCAAATCTGGGAATGAGGTGGCCATGATATATAGTAGGGACAGGAAAACTTGGATAAAATGTCAGGTGTCTGGAAGTTAATTCTGAGTGGATGATTTACAGATAAACATCTTTTTTGTCTATAGTCTTCTATTTTTGACATGCTATAAATCTGGCAATAGTTAAGTTAAATTAACATAAATCAAAATGGCAGATAGTAAACAGGTAGCTACCAGAATAAAGTTGGAAATATTTTACAAATTAAACCCAAATAAGCCAATATTATTGACCATTACTGCTCAAGGATATGTCCATAGCTAAATTTATAATACTTTGAAAAGATTAGAAAATGCTTTAGAAATGGAAAAAAGCATGCAGCATCGTGTCAATCCACAATCCAATTGGGCAGAAACCAATGAAAATCACTATAGTGAGCTCTCAAAAGAAAAGTTTAACTTAGTTACAGGTCACTAGGTGAAAAGTTTGAAGTGGACTTCAAAACCATTAAACAAATAGTGGAAGATATGGAATCTGAGGAAAGTTACTAAAGTGATTACCATCAAGAAAATTGTCTGTCCAGCCTAGAACGAGACACACCCTTTAACCTGAATGTCATTATGGATGACAAGTCATATTACCTATTAACAGCTCATCCAATCAAGTAATTTGTAAAAAACAAAAAAAACAAAAAAAAAAAAAACATTTAATTGCCTCTAATCAAGAAATACCATTGAAAAGAGAAATTTGCCAAAAAGATATTAATATGAATGGCAATTGTGGTAGAGGAATTCTATGAAAAACATGTCAGTGTTTCTCATATAATTGAGAGGTGCCATTAGCTCCGAAGTATACATTAAATTGAGAGTGCATTTAAAAGTTTCTTATTCCTTATGTATATAAACATTACCCAAAACAACACTGAATACATCTTTTGATATGACTTATCCAGTTCACATTATTCCACTCTGACACAAGTCAAGAAAGCTCAAAATCAACATTGTAAATAAAGAAAATAACTTGCCCAATGTTCCTGAATTCCATACAATTGAAAATGTTTGGTATTATTATAATTATAAACTACCAAAGTGGACAAGAAGCAAAAACACCAAGCTCTCATCACAAGAATGACCAGAAACTTGAAAGAGGTTGCAAAAATCTACTGGACACAACTCATAAGCATATAAAATCATATAAAAGTCAATTGGCTAATGTGTAATGGAGTTTCAAATTGTTTCTACATTCTAATATATCACTGAAGAGGGGCTATAAAATTATATTAGCCAAGAATGCACATGATGTAAAATTATACTTTAAAAGTTTGCTACAATAAAGTCATGTATCATCTAACTTGGTCTGGCTGTGAGAAAAATCAACCTATTAGGATTAAAGTGTTTTTAAATACAACAACAAATAAGTGATAAAATATTTGTCAGTTTTCCACCATACTTTATTGACCTCATTCAACCGGTCCACCAATCTGAGAAATGTTTATTGAGGAAATACAGGACATCATATAGTGGTGGGATAGTGTGCCATCTTGCAGAAAGTGTGTGTGTGTGTCATCCTTTGTCAACATTAACTATAGAATGGGAAAATTTTCCAGCATATCCAGATACAAAATATTGTGATATACAAAATATGGTTCCCCTCATGATAAAAAAAAGTCATGAAAATGAAAAAAAGATGTTTTCATTAAACTCATGTTTATTTTCAAGGACTACAAAACCTACCCTCACTTGTTCCATAACAGAATTAGAAAGACATGGGTAACTAGATTTGTCATGGCAAAGCAAACAAAATGTGTTTCATCAAAGTTTCAATTACAAGAATAAATTTTAGATCACATGGAGGATCCCATGATATTGGTTGTGAAAATTCTGTTGAACAGCTATTATGGATTTTTTCCCCTCAAACCAAAACACACAGAGAAGCTTGCTCTGCATCAGTGAAAGCAATCATTTTGAAATGCACATTTCACCTGATGGAATTTGATACATCAAGTTTGTCTTATGTAGTGCAGTAGTATTTTGCTATAAATTAATGTCTCAAGCAATTCTGTATGTCTTCTAATTAAAATTCTATATGCTTTTAAAATTGTAAAGTCTTTTTAAAATCATCCTGAATGATGAATGTATGTTATTACTCAGTGAATGGTAAAGAATAATTATATGCCACAATTCAATTCATTAATCTCACATATTATAAGTTACATACTCATTTCTTGGGGATTAATACAAACAAAAACATGAAGTCTCAGTAATGAGTCAGTCATCAGTCAATCACATTTACAAAACTTGATAAGTTTTCTGAATAATGTATGGTGATACTCTCATAAGTACAAACTTTTTCTTTTAGTAATTCTAATACAATATATTCATAGACATATAAATTTATGATTAGACATATATTCTATAAATATATGTAATCATAAATTCATAATTTTCATTACAAAATTTGCATTGACTATATTTTAAAACTTTTATATATTTATCACCATCTATTAATTAAAATTTATTTTTATCTGATTTGTGCAATCAAAACCTTCACTTAAATTTTAAAGCCTTGATAATAAATTTGGAGCCATACACTTTAATAATATATAGGTTTACAACTATCCCTTAACTAAATTTTGTGTAGTATTATGTCCAACATTAAAAGAGTTCTTCTACAGCGTATAACTTAAGCCATTTGAAGGAAAATATTACTTTTACTGTAATTTCTTCCAATTGACCAATCCAACTAAATTTACATTTAACATCTTTTTTTTAGTCCTATAATTATTTTTACCAATATTGTATATGAAAATGTTAATGGAAAAAGTGCAAGTTAATTTAAAAAGCCAGACTTGTGATACCTGATGAATGGAAATTTGAATTGCATCAAATTTTAGAATTAATAGAAAATATACATTTTTCAAAGAGACTTAATCATTTTAAAGCTGTGAACTTAATATACTGTATAAAACTGCTAATAAGCTGAACTTAACAATTAATTTTATAATTTTTATAGAATTTTTGTTTTTTTGCTGAAAAACAATTTTTTAAATATATATTTCTATTCTTCTTTCTATTGATGATGATAAAAAGATATTCACACAAAAATTATTAAACTTACCAACAAATTTGTCCTTTTCTACATTCTGAAGCTGATCAATAGGTACAAATTGAAACTGTACCATTGGAATAGAATTAGAATTATCTGTACATAAAACCACAGTTGTTTCTGATGTGAAACTCATTTCATAATCATTCTTTATTGATGTGAAATTTTTATTTGCAGTCTTCAGACTTGCTTTACTGATATAGTAAACCTTAAATGTAAAAAGATAATATAAATATTGAATTTAATAAGAGTTTCATATTTTGTTAATTATAATTTTTTTGAATTTTATATTGTAATAACAAAATTATAAAATAACAAATGATAACATTACAGATGTTATATATCCAAAAAGTATCATCTAAATATTATTTGCAACAAAATTAATAAAATTTGGATTTGAGCCATTAATCAAATGATTTTCTTAAAAAATTGAAAATTTATGATATTTTTCTGACAACTTTCAATCTGATAGTGAAATCATTAAAAACTTGACAAATGTTACTGTAAGTAGAAATGATCATCAGAATTTAATCCTATTTCAATGTAGTGAAAAAATAATTTTGTAGCTTCTACAAAGATTGTGTCTTAATCTAAAGTATATATATGTATATATATATAAAGTAAGCAATTATAAAATAGTGTTTTAGATAAATGAATAATTCCCAAAATCACTTGTCAAGTGTTGACATCTACACACAAACCATTATAAAAAATATGTAATTATACTGTATTGAAATAAGTTTTTACTAAAATTAATTCCATTATATAAATTAATTTTAACAGAAGCTCATTATTATTATTTTTTTGTAATAAAAGTACAGTAGAGCGTCGTTTATCCGAATCAATTGGGGACTGGGGTTGTTCGTATAACTTATTTTTCGGATAACCAATTATGTATGAAAAAATATATTAATTTATCCCGTGTTGAAATTTTTCTCCGTTGCGTGTCGCTTCGCGTTGAATTTTCGTCGATGTTAACAAACGAAGTTAAGCCTAACGAAGACTATTGTATTGTTAAAAATTATTTTTTTATTTTGTACAAAAAAATATATTGAAAAATATAAAAATAAAAAATTATACTTCAGAAGTTAATTTAGTATCAAAAACGTAAAATATTTGAGTAGCCGAAAACATAGCCAAAGATTACAGCGCCACAGCATTGGCAAAAATTTAAATTTGTCGACTGGAATTCCTTCGGATAACCGACGCTCTACTGTAAGTTGTAAAATTTTCACAATGCTTCAATCTTAGTATGTCATCAACTACAGTAGAAATATTGGATGATTAATCTAAAATTATGATATAAATTATAATAGAAATATTAAAAAATGACAAGATGAAAGGGAAGCAATGAAAACATATGGTAGCATCTCTCAGATTAACATTAAATTTGAATACATTGTAAAGAAAAATTCTAAAAATCCAGAACATAATATATTATTATTTTCAAAAAAATACATTGTAAAAATACAAAATATTACAGACAATACGAATATGAATTCTTGTCTTTTCCTTCATCCTCTTTCAACATCACAGGAACATGATCCACACAGCGGAGTCGACCTTTCTTTTTAGGCTACTTTTCCCACCTACATTTATATTACATCCTGGATTTTTAGAATTTTTCTTTACAATGTAAACGATTTTTACAGTGGAATCCATAGTCAAGGAACTTTTTATCTGATTTACATACATGCAGGCGGGGAAAGTAGCCTAAAAAGAAAGGTCAACTCCACTGTGTGGATCATGTTCCTGTGATGTTGAAAGAAGACAAAGGAAAAGACAAGAATTCATATTCGTATTGTCTGTAATACTTTGTATTTTTACAATGTATTTTTTTGAAAATAATTAAATTTGAATTTTCTAGATGTAATTTCTTTCTTTCTGTTTTCAATTCACTATAATACTACTGTGATCAAGAAATATCATAATAATTCATTTTAAACAGCACATTATCTGTACAATGTACAAGAGGACATTATCTTTGTTTTTTCATTGTTTGGTATGACTTTCATTGACATCTAGCAGCAATCTGTATGTCAAAGTTTGTTTTCATTTGCAAATAAACACTTGTTTTGTGTGTAAAGAATTTTTGTGCTGACAATTTTTCAAAATGTCAAGTGTAATCATGCAGAGAACATGTATTATATTTTGTTTTCACAATGGAATTGCTGCTACAAAAACATTTAAAATGTTGCAAAAAGCCTTTGGTGATAATAGTCTATCAAAAACAAGATTTTGAGTGGTACAAGATGTTCAAGAAAAGCAGTTAACACATCAAAGATGAACCATGCTCTGGTAGACCATCCACTTCAATTGATGAACAACTCTAAGCTCAAGTCAGAGATTTGGTGCTCAATGATCATCATTTAACAATTGAACATGTTCCATTATCATTTGGATCGTGTCAAGTAATTTTAAAAGGTCATTTGAGCATGCATGGCTTCTAAAGTCATCCCGAAAACATTAAATTTTTTCCAAAAACAACACGGTTAAGTGGCCAAGGAAATGATTTTCTTGAGCAGAATCATTCTTAAAATGAGTCATTACAGGTGATGAAACACAAATCCATTCTTTTGACACTGAAATATCTAGACAATCAAGTGAATGGCACTTATAAGGTGAAGCAAGACCGAAAAGACAACTTCAAAGTCAATCAAAAATCAAGGTCATGTTGACCATTTTCTTCAATTGTTGTGCATCACAAATCCTTCTGACTGGCCAAACTGTCAACAAAGATTATTATTTGAACTTTTGCATCATTTGCATAAGCAATTCATAGAAAACTACCTGATTTGTGGCAAGAAAACTCATTGATTTTGCACCACAATAATGCACCTGCTCACAATGCTTTTGTTCATAAACTTTTGGCAAAATATTCAAGAAAAACAGTTCTGCAAGCTCTGTATTCACCTGATATGACACTGTGAGACTTTTCCCTGTTATCAACTAATATTTCTGCTTTGTGGTTACCATTTTGAGTTGACTGATGTCACAAAACAAAAGCTGCAAGTCCTAAAGAGGTTTCATGAAAACAACTTTGAAGCATGTTTCAAAGATCGGAAAAAAACATTGACATTGGAAGAGGACTATTTTAGAGAAGACAATATAAATTTTGATGAATAAATTCAAATCTTGCATTTTGCTGAGTCATTTCCAATACTTTTTTATTACAGGTATGCCTTTAAAGAATATTTTAAAAATTTATTAATTCAAAATTAATCAATTATGTTCTGTTATAACAGGATAAAATGTAAATATACTCCTCAAAAGTGAAATCACAACACCATGAAGGAATGTGTGTAGTCACAAGTAACGAATATGACTCCCCCATGGTCATCTATACAGCAAAGCATACTATCAATGAGGCAATAAATGGTTGCCTGAGGTATTGCTTGCCATGCTGTATCCACTACAGCATACATGTCATCTATGATGTGCGGTGGTGGTCTCCAATCAAACATCTCTGAGTCCTTGTCCAACGTGAGGTGCACTCACATCGGACGAGGATCCAGAGGTGTTTGATGGGAGAGAGATCTGATGAAGTTGATGGCCAAGGATGTGAATTCCATTCAGACTGATGACAGTTTACCATGCAAAATGTGGTTGGGTATTATCCTGCTGGAACACCATGTCATATGCAACCTGCATCAGTGGCTGGCTGAACCACAGTTACCAGAATTTGTGTAACATACTGGTCTGCTGCCAGAGTACCAGAAACGTGCACCAAGGCAGCCCATTGATGGCAATCATTCATCCAGACAAAAGCAAGATTCATTTGTAAACAATATCTGATGCCATTCAGTGATCCAGTTGCAATGATGACAATATCAGGTCACTCAACACAGGTCTTCAAACCTACAGGTTTGAAAACCTGTGTTGAGTGGTTAATGTCATCCCATTCCTGGTTGTTGTGCATGCAGCCTGACTATATGAAACCTGTTGCAAAGGGTTTGAGTGAATATAGATGCACCTGTTGACAGCAACAAGTGGCTTCAGATGTCACATACTGTGGTGAACAGGTCCTAACAGGCTGTTCGGCAAATCTGCCAGTCTGTGAAATTATGAGGTGGTGCAATCAAATCCCTATTCAGGATATTCACAGGTGTTCCTGCATCCATCATGTCACACATTACTGGTTGGTAATCACATTGTGGCCAACATGCATGGCAACTGTGCACATCAAACAATTTGAACAACTTCAGAATACAGTCTTGTTCCCCAGCCATTAACTGGTGGGTATTCAGTTTGATGTTTTCTTCAAGGCATTTTCTATACTTCTTTGAAAGTTTGGCTGCTGCAAACCATTGCTGATAGCATTTATGACCCAAACTGGCTGCTGGTCTTTATAGCCCAAAACTGAGTACCACATGATCCTATGCATACATAAATTTAATCATTTGCATATCTCTGTCACCTCTATAGGGCCTGCAATCTGCATGTGGCTACACATATTCCTTCATGGTGTTACAATTTCACTTCTGACAAGTGTACAATGAATAAAAAGTGTGGTTTACTATTTAATGGTTAAGAGTATGAATGAAATTCAAGACACCACAAGGTATGATGTAATATCAGATACTAAAACTTAAAATTATTTGAAAATACTAGAATATATAGACAAAAATAATTTATCAATGATATTAGCTACATGTCAGATGTTTTATGATATATCAGAATAAAATATAACTTCTCATACCTTATTAACATCCATTGCATCAAAGAACTTATCACACTGTTCATTAAAAGCTGTAGCTCTTATTTCTCCACTTTCATCTAATAAATCAACAGAGAATAATTTGCCTTCACCTCTAGAATTACTCCAAGTTCGTATATTTGTTTTATTAGTTACTCTAGCACGGATTGTCCATCTAAAATAAATAAAATAAAATTTAAAAACTGATAATAGTAATTCTTTCAAATAGTCAATGCATCTTTAAAAGAAAAAACTTTTTATTAAGTAGCTTCTAAAAATGACATCTGTACACGGCAAATTTTAAAAAATTACTTATGAATTAACATGATGTGGAAAACAATTACCGCACCTAAAAAACTCAAAATATATTTTAACTGTCAATTAATTCTTTAAATCAATCATAATTTTTATAACTGATTTACTTAATCCATAAATTTTCCTTATAATGCTGACCATTTATAATAATTATAGAATATTTTTAATCTGCAAATTATCATGGATTGTTGTAAATATTGCTAACTTATCTATATATATAATCGAGACAGGTTGATAATAATAATAATAATAATAACAATTACAGACTGGCTTGTTTATAGAAGAAAATTTATAATTTAGTAAGAAAAGGACATTGAGGCATTTTCATTAAACTATAATTTTAATAATCATTTTAGCCGAAATTCTGGTGTATTAGAAATTGCAGAGAACAGAAAACATGGACAGGTATATTAAATATTAAATAAAAATTGTTTTCTGTGGAACTCTGTATTGTCTGTTAAGCCAGTATAATAAGTCCTGATAATAGTGAATGCTTGTTTATAGAAGAAAACTTATAATTTAGTAAGAAAAGGACATTGAGGCATTTTGATTAAATTATGTTATCAACTGAATTTCATATTTATTTTCGCGGTCCTTCTCCATTCTTTTTCTGTTATTTACACGTGAAGGGCTGTAAAATGTGAAAATAAATATGAAATTCAGTTGCTAACATAATCGAACAAGTCGAGGCAGCTTATTGTTATCCACATTTGATATCATCATTTATCACATACAGCTATGACGCTCTTGTCTGTCCACTACAACTGTCAAGAATTAACGTGATTGGTGAAACATAGTGACAGTGGGCCAATAGAGAGCAGGGTCCTTGCCATAATGCGGTTTGCATAACAATTTTCGTACGCACGTTAATCGAGTCGAATAGTTTGGCCGAATATTCAGTATTCAGCCTGAGGCCGAATATACTATTCATTGCAACACTATTTAGTATTGTTTTAGAATCATAATTATGCATTAAAATATAAGTTTTAACTCTAAATGAATCAAATACCTATTTTGATAAGGAGTTAAACTGCTAATTGGATGAACAATTACAGAAGTTGCTCCTCCATATTGTTGGTTCCTTTGTCCATATCCACCTGACCAATTTGTGCTACCTGAATAAGAAATTTCTATTATTCCAAACAAATTTAACTTATTAAAAATTACAGTCGACCCCCCTATAACACTGTTGATAATTCCGTTTTATACGAATTCCATGTTGTATGAGTCACTAGATTTTACAAATACGTGAGCCATTCATGGCCCGGCACACGTATTTGTAAAATCTAAGTGACTCATACAACATGGAATTCATATAAAATGGAATTATCAACAGTGTTATAGAGGGGTCGACTGTATAGTTATTGNACTGTAATTCATTTTTTCATTTAATTTTTTATGTAACATTAAGATTTAGTGACTTATTTTCAGGTCATTTCATTTTCTGAAAACAAACATTTGCATTTGAAGACATCAAAAATAAAATTACTTTTAAAATGCATTATTAAAAATTAAAATGTTTTGTTCATTATATTCAATAAGATTATAGAATATTAAATTTTTGTTATTTTAAGATCTATTAATACTTTTTCTTAAGAGTAAATTGAGTTAAATCTGTCAAATATTCTTTAATCCTAGTTGCTACATTGACTTTTAAAATTTAATTGGAGAATGAAGCAAGATCAGATTCAAGAAAGAAATTTAAAAATAATTAATTAAACAGTAATACTTTAAATTAATTCAAACTAATTCATTATAATTATTTTTTCTTAGAATTATGGAAAAAGTATATTTCTAAATATCTTTGTGTATAAAATACAGCATGTCCAAGAAAGATCTTTATCATTCTAAATATTAATAACAAAAATACTAACAGGTGAAATGAAATGCAGTTTGCTGCAAAAGAATGAAGAAATCTAAGAGTTTTCTCTGGTATCAATTGCCTGAGGTAGATGGATTGAATGGTCATGGAGGACCCATACCTTGGCCTCCGTGATCGCCCGACATAACTTCACTGGATTTCTTTATTTGGGGTTATGTTAAAGACAGGGTTTATCAAACACCTGTTTCTGATATATCTGCTTTAAAGGAAAGGATACAAGTAGCAGTCCTCACTGTTACATTGCAAATGTTAAAAAAACACTTGGAGGGAAATCGAGTACAGACTTGACATTGTTCATGCTACTAACAATGCTCATATACAGCTACATTGAAGGTTGAAGGTACCTTTTTTTTTTTTAACTCTTTCCTCTCTGTGGGCACTAAGAGGGCCTCTTTTTGCAAGCCCATTATGGGTTTGGCCAGGCCCACAACAGGGTGGCCGGGTGATGAGAAATGGGACCTGACATATCTGAACAGACCAGCCCCAAAAATTTCTGGGGATTATTTGACACGTGGTTGAAGGTACTGTAAAAAAACTCTTACGATTTCTTCATTCTTTTGAAAACTGCATTTCATTTCACCTGTTAGTATTTTTGTTATTAATGTTTAGAATGATAAAGATCTTTCTCAGACACACTGTATATTAAAACTTTTTTAAAATAAATATAAATATAGAGAAATGTTACAGCATGCTTTTCTGTATTTTGTTTTTCTCTAATCTAAATTCAATTGATAAGAGTAATGCTGAGACCTAACAAATTCTCAAATTTAATTATGACAGTTTTGATACTTCCCAGAATTGTGAAAGTGTTTAACAAATACAATTTAGCCACATTTTCTAAATTTATATCAAAATAAAATATTAATTAACATTAAGTTACTTTGGAATGTAAGACAAACAATGTTAATATTACCTTTATTTCAGTTTTAAAACTTCAGATACTTACTTATTGCATTCTTAACAGAATTCAAAAGTTAAACATTTATATAATTATTAATATTGCATATTACTGATAATCTGTGATTTCATTTATAAATTTTTAAAATTAACATAAAACAAATAGAGAACCTGAAATCTTAAATTAAAATTAACATTTTAATTTAAAATTTCAGGATCTCTATTTATTTAGATTACAATAGATATTTATAATTTTTATTAATAAAAATATAAAATCATTTCATCAACCTTTTTAATACATTATTATGTATTAAACAACAATAATCATCTCATTTAGTTCTTTTTAAATTTTCAATTTAGAAATTAAGTAGCTTTTTTAAACATGAAATAATTTGAACAAGAAAATTTGTTACGTTTAATTCAAGACATTCAAAATCTACATTTAACTGAATCACAAAGCGAAACAGTTAATTTGTTAAAAGTTTTGTATAATTTAAGAATATTTTATTCACTTATTTAAGTAAATATTACTATCAATACATGATAAAATTAAAACTATTACCTGGTTCTGTTCTAATTTTAGTCACCATTCCAATATTTGTATTCTGTGCTCTAAAATTACTTGCTATAAAAATAGATATAAATGGATAAATAAATTTTTATTAATGACAAAATGCATTATATAAAATAAATAGTATAAAACATATTATTAATGCAATAAGTATAAATTTAAATTTCATTAGAGCATATGTATGTATGTATGTATGTATGTATGTATGTATGTATGTAAGTATGTATGTATGTATTTATGATCTGTACATATAATTCACATTATAAAAAAAAAAATAATAGATCAAACTCTTACCTTATTCAAAAAATTAAAAAACAAACTAATTAAAAAATATTCTAAATACAGTAAAACCCTGAAGAGTTTTAAGCTAATGAGTTTAATATCTAATTTTCCCAAACTTTTATGGATGTAATTTATCAAGAACAGGTGAAACAGGCTGAAAACGTTTGTTAAAATTAATAAATAATTCTCAGTGAGATAAGGTATTGTTGTAAAAATTAAGAAGCATCTAGCTGGGTATTAATTATTGTCAAGCCATTTTTCAAAAATCTGTTCATAGTATGTTTACAAAATTGTACATAGTTTATAGCATCTCTGAGTGTGTGTCAAGGTACTTGCCTTGTATTGCAATCGGAATACCTGCAACATATTACATCAGTAAAAGGATGTCAACACAAAGTTGTAATGGCATAGTATTGTGTGACATGGAGTTGTAGTGCTTGTTTATCTTAATTGTCTGTTATCACATGAAATAAGTGAAAATAAGAATAAAGCAAAGGATAGAGGATACACAGGAAAATAGGTCTGAGCCAAAAATATCAACAATTTCAACTTATTGAGTATAAGGAAAAAACTATATACTGCACCCAGGACAGGTAGACAATTTCAGAACTTGACTTAGCAAGGTTTTACTGTATTACAAGTTTCATTTTCCTACTAAAATAAGAGATATATTTTTAAAACTATAATGACATTGTATATATTAATACATAAGATAACAAAAATAAGCAATATACAAATACTTAATTATTGAATTTTTCAAGTTATCTAATATCAGGTTTGGTAACTATATATGTATATATATATAAAGTAAGCAATTATAAAATAGTGTTTTAGATAAATGAATAATTTATTATTTACTCACTTAAAGTTGAGATTTAAGATATGTTTATATTCAAAATAGTAATATATTCTTAAAAAGAATATTTGCATTTACATTAAAATTTTGAATCTCAAATTGTTAAATATTAAATTTAACACAAAGTCATCAATTCCATTGCAATAACTGAAGTAATACTGCAATATCCTTTAATTGTTCTGAGCAGTATAGACTGAATAAAAGTATGAAATATACAGCATGTCTGTAGAGTTAAATAAGTTAAACAAAAATTACACCATAATCATTCTTAATTTCATTGGATATCTTGATAAATTTGCTTACAACAAAAAATATATTTCTAAAGCTGAAGTTGCAAAAGGTTGCTAGTACAGTCATATCAGAAATGTTTTTCTCAAATTCCTTCAAGTAGGCAATTGTTTACATCATTTCATCTTTTAATCCAGTTTGTACACTTGAGTGAATTTAGAAATACCAATAATGCCAAATGCTATTTACTTCATGAGGTGAACTAAACTAACTTTTCCCTTCACAAATGCCATTAGAGTTTGAATCATCAACAACACAGTGTGCACACACTTTATGACCATTTCATTAGCAATTCTTTAACTCATTCAACTTTATGAACAAATCCATAACAAGCATTGAAACAATAAAACTGTGTGACAGTATAAGTTACAATAGATAATTTATTTATTTATCATTGATATATAGAAAAAGTCACATAAGGACTACAGATTTCCACCTCCAGATAACAAGTCTCAAAAAATATTTAAGACAAAAAAAAACAACAAATCAAATAAAAACACAAATACAAAAAAAGGCTAAGCATAGTATAAATTTCATTTACAAATATTTTTAAACCCAGAAAAAAGTAACACGTAAAACAATCAAAATTTAAACATACTTTGTGAAGTACAATAAAAATAAGATCACTAATCTATAAAATGGCACGTAAATATATGAAGAATATCACAAATTTCTTTGGGGTATTCTTAAGTGGAGACAACTGGACTGTATAAAACCATTAAAATGTTTGAAATATAAAAATTGATCAAAATATTTAATTTTCTTTAAAATCAGGAAGACCCAGTCTAGCCCTGGCAACATTTGGAGATTGAGTATTGGGAAGGTTACAAAATCTATTTAAAAGCAGATAAATTTTATCAAGTTCCTTGGAAATTTTGTTTAAAAGCAGGGCCGTGGAGTCAGAGTCGTGGAGTTTTGGTGTTTTAGCTAGAGCCCTTTTACTTACCAACTTGTTATGTAAACGAAACGGAGTCGGATGATAAGGAAAAGTCGGAGTCGGTAGATTTTTACGCAACTCCACAGCTCTGTTTAAAAGAGTTGGGGCTGCTATGGCCCAAATTGGCAAACCATAGTCGACAACAGATTGAAAGTTTGCAAAGAAAATGGATCAAATAACATTTTTTGAGGAAATGGGTTTACAGAAATGCCTAAAGATACCCTGATGTATTTTGTTTATATGGCTTTTAAATGTGAGTCTGTTATAATCCAAATTATGCTGAGGTCATCAACTGAAAAAACATATTTAATATTCTGTGTGTTAATAGAAAGTGTAGGTTAAGTAATATTGCATAATAAAGATAGCTCATGACAACAGTTTTCTGTGGATTGATTTTTAATTGGCTTTAGCAAAAATAAATGTTAGAAGATGCAGATCTGAATGAAGTGTATCAGGATCATAATTAATTAATTTGATAACATAGGTAATTGGTTGTTGATTTAAGTTGACTTAATATACTGTTAATGTAAACTGAAAAAAAAAAAAACAATCCACTTAAAATCAAACCTTGCTGAATAATAACAACTATGAAAACAGATAACTGTGTAAGAAAAAAATGAAAAAATCTGTATTCAAAGTAGTCCAGTCATGTGTGAAATGACACAAAATTCTGTGCCTTTCCTAATATAATTTTTCCAAATGCAATTAAATGCATAAAACTATCAATAGAATGTAAAAACTTATTAAATAAAGTCCCTTTTTCAGTTGTGGACAACAATATTGGTCTACTTAAAATGGGAAATTTTCTGAAAAAAAAACTCTCATTTAATTAAGAAAAATTTATTTATCTGTTCTGGGAGAAAAAACTGAGACTTTAAAATTCTTACATGGAAAAAATTTCTAATTTGGGACCTTCTTAACAGAGTTCTACTGTATTTACAATGTATATAATTTTAATCTCGATATTCATTATTATTCATTTCAATATCATAATTGAAAAAATAGTTACTAAAACAAAATCATTTTAATCAATTTTTGGATTGGTTTATCCACTTAAAGGGGTTGAGAATAATTGAGGGAGATCAGAAATATTTTTTGAAACAATAACATGAATTCATACATTTCAGAAACTAAAACTGTAATTTAATAATTATTCTCTGTTGAACACAAATAAATTTGACTAAATTTTGAGAAAAATGTTTGATTTGTTTATGTTTGAAGTTATTAATTGTACAGAATACATTTTGAATTTTTGGTAAAGTGGGAAACATTAAGATTGGAAATTTTCTGCACTACACACACACTGATTTATTTGTAACATTGCCTATTCAGAAGCATTTAGCTGAATCAGTTCTTGCAGATATCATCTAGCACTTCTTGCTTGCAGCATAATGATATCATTTTGATGCATCTTCAAGTGTTAAAAAAGTTTCAATAACAAAACCTACTTATTAGCCTTCACAATACAATATTAAGTTTATTGCTGCATTCTTCTGCATGATACTGGTAGATACGAGTGCTAAACTTTTTTTTTTGCTCAAACAATTACCAATTTAAACTGCCTTAATATTGGCAGATGCAACCTAACGAAAAACACTGTAGATAATGATCTATATTAATAACATTTAATAACAAAACACTGATCATATGAAATGACATAATTTGTGCCTTTTGGAAAATGAAATGGGGTGGTCATTGACACACTACCTACTGGTAGAGGAGCATTTAAATTGTTGCCAGAAAATGTCACCTAAAATCAATGAAGGACTGTGAGAGGTCCATTCAGTTTGATAAATCTATGCTCAATTTTATTAGTCAAATGAATAATTTTACTTGCAAAAAGGATGTGACTAGCAGAAAATGGGAGCACTATATCATCATCTAACTAAATATTTATAAATGCATCTGTATTAATTTAATTTAAATTTAGATAATATATTTGGATTTAATTTATCTTGTTGAATTTGTTCAAATATTTGTTATTCCTGTTGTTCTCATATCTTTTTTAAATCTATTATCTAATTGAAATAATTTTTGAATAATAAAATTTTTAACACAAATGCTAGATTGATATTTATGATAAACTTACAATTTCCTTGTGCAACATTTTGAAGTTCATTGGAAGTAGCAATTGATTGTATAGATGCTCCAATTTTTTCTCCAACATCTACACCAGGTACCAAAACTGTTATTTCCAATAAGATAAGTACTTTCCTAACACAATTAAAGACAGATTACATAAACTATTAAAATTTCATTAACAACATTCATTTCAATATTACATTTTATTAAAAATTAAACTTTTTAAGGGGAAAAAAAATATCCTTAACAAAGGAAGTGTTGTAGGTCAAAATCTTATTAATTTCATCTAATAAGTAAGTAACAGAATAATTACTGAAATTTCAATAAACTTTAATTGTTTACTAAGTAATATAAAAATGTACTCTGAAATATCAAACTAATCTTAAACAAATTAAAGTAACAGAAATAACAAGTTTAACAAAAATGAAATAAATGTAAATAAGAATGTATTGAACATTTTATAAAATTAGTTTACTAGTTTAACATTGACATTTAGGAAAATTTTTGGTTTTCTGCAAAGTACCTTACACTAAGCTGAAAAATTTTTCAATGCCTATATTGCATTTCTAGTCTAATAAAGCTGTTTTATTTATTAATGCACTAAAAACTTAACACATGTATATTGTTTTTAAAAGATACACAAAGGCCATTACTATAAAATATAAAATATATAATAAATAAATTATGTAGTAAGAGTATATTAACTGTGCATAATAAAATAATTTAATTCATTTAATTATTATTTCTAAATTCAGATTTGATTTTATTCAATCTAAACATTTTACTATATTTATATTCAATAATTATTTCAACTCATTTTTATAAAAACATAACATGATAGTAAATGTTATCTTACTTGTCAGGTTGTACTTGATTGCAAAGATATTTATCCAATCTTATAACTGTATATCTTTCTAATTCACCTTTCACAATTTTATCGTTTAGCTGAGTAGCAAGCATAGCAACTGATTAAATAGATTTAAAAATAAAATTAATATAAATAATCATACTAAATAAATAAATATTTTTAAATTCATTAATTATAAATATTTAATTATTTCTAAATAAATTAATAAAAATAAATTATCTGTAATGTAAATGTTACATTACAGATAATTTATTTTAAATTTTAGCAAAGTTAAATTATCTGTAATGTAACATTTACATTACAGATAATTTAACTTTGCTAAAAAAAAAGCAAGTATTTTGTGAGAAAATAATAAATAAATTTAAGAGGTTGACTGTTTTCAAAATTAATAAAATTAGTCTCTCCATTATTAAAATTCTAAATTAATGCACAGAGATCACTGTATTAAGTTCTATTTGAAAAGAAAAGTTATAAATATCACTTTTTAATTTATAAATACCATCACTGTTATTAATCTATGTGGAATTATTAATATATTGTTTTATATATATATACAATGGGTGATCAAATTAGTAGTTACATGTTTTTTGAGTATGTATAGAAATAAAAGCACAATATTAAGGTTTTGGGTGTGAGTCAGTCATTGAGGGTGTTGGTGAACTTTTCATCTGAGCTGAACAATTGTGTAATAATTAGTGTTGCAACAAATAGTATATTCAGCCTCAGGCCAAATACCGAATATTTGGCCAGTAGCGTAGCCGAATAGCCGAATATTCGGCCAAACTATTTGGCTTGATTAACACATGTACGAAAATTGGAGCGCAAACCGCATTATGGCAAGGACCTGCTCTCTATTGGCCCGCTGTCACTACGCTTCATCAATCACATTAATTCTTGACAGTTGTAGCGGACAGACAAGAGCATCATGGCAATACTGTATGTGATAAATGATATCAAATGTGGATAACAATGAAATGACCTACATGTGTAAATAACAGAAAAAGAACAGAGAACGACCGCGAAGTGGAAATGTGAAAATAAATATGAAATTGAGTTGATAACATAATCGAACAAGTTGAGGCAACTTATTGGCACGAAATTCGCGGCTGTCAATGTCAAACAATTGTTATCATAGACTTCGGAAAGCTAAATGCTTGTAATGAAAAACTTAGCGTGCATGGGTGAAAGCCTGGAGCCGTTTGAGCTACCACGCTGTCTCGAATCTGTGAAATCATAACTGTGACTTATACCATCATCCTATTTGTCTCTTTTCTCCGTTATCACCAGGCTATGAGTCACGTAATTGTAAAATTGGAAATCTACGATGGAAAAGTGACGAATCGAAAGTATCGTGAGGGTGTATTATGATGTATGCATAGGCATATGTGGACTAGAGCAATAGAGGAAACAGAAAGGAAAGAGCAAAGACGAGCACTTAAAAAGAAGGATAGGCAGGGTCAGACCTTCAAATGTGCGATGATTCTCGAATGAATTAGGTGTGTACGTGTGCTGTGCTGATCTTTGTAATTATAAATTGCGAATACATGTGACTAACATTATTTTCTTTTTTATTTTGTGCATATTATAAGTTATAAATAAATATAAACAAACTACACTAACCCGATAACATTAAATCTAAATACCAAAATGATTAATTTACTGTGTTTTTGTTATTTCTTACTCCTGTTTTTAGGTATTCGGCCGAATAGTGATTAAATATTTGGTATTCGGCCGAATAGCGAAAAATAGGCCGAATACCGAACAGTAACTGAATATTCGTTACATCACTAGTAATAATGTATCAGAAAATTATATTTAACTGGTTTTTGAATGTTTAAGGATGTGGATAATTGTTAACAGACTAATTTTGGAATTAATTTTATTCCTCTTATTAATTGCTGGAATAGAACCTAATCCAGGCCCTCTTCTTCATTCTCTCCAGCATTTGAGTCAAAGTGACATGCAAAAAAGGGAGCGTGGAGGGCCACATAAGGAAAATGTTAAAAATACTATCAAGTGGAAGATTTTATGAATAAACAACACTTTCTTTTTGAAGAGGATTATGGTGAAGGTAGCTTTGATACCACAAGAGCCACAAAAATACCTGAATATTTTGAAGCATTAAGAGATAAAGATCTATCGGTACAAGAAGAATCACAATTTACAATAAAATCAATATACGAACTAATTCAAAATAATTTTTCACAGCTCAACAGGAATTACAAGGAATCAAATCAGAACTTAATTTAATGAAGGAAGAAAGTAAGTATTTTCAAGAACTGGCGAAAATGTCACAGAGAATGGAAGAAATAGAAATATTATCTAAGAACAATACTTATCTAAAAGGTATGGTTGAATTCGAATTAGATAAGTTAATAAATGAGAAAACTAATAAAAATATTGTAGTAATAAACTTTCCATTTACTTCGTCACATTATGCTAATGAAATCAATCAGTTCATTAATTAATTAAAGAGAATTTAAAAATTAAAGATAGCTCTATAGAAAGTATAATCAGGCTAAATACAGTAACAATAAAGAAACTAATCCTGTAGTAAAGGTTATATTACATTCCTTGTATAATAGAAATCTGATACTAAAAGAAGTTTAGAAAATGAAAGTGAAAGATGATACTGAAGAAAAGAAAACAATAGTAATTTTTACAACTGATTTATGTAAAAGATCTAGAATAAGAAAGAAAAAATTACAAGCTATAATTAAACAAGAAAAATTGAAAGGAAATTAAAGGGAAAATAATTATTAGAGATGATTATTATATCCAAGATAATAAAATATTTACATACAATATTAATTTAGATAAAGTAATACAATTAGAAAATTTTTAGGAAGAAATTAACTAAGGAGGGTTTTGGATGATGTTTCAGATACTACAAACCCAAGTAACTTAGGAGGAGATAAAGAAAAAATTGGGTATATAGATACTTGGATAAATATTAATAAATTAACAAAAAAAACACTCTTTCATAAATACAATTAGTAATGACACTAATAAGTTAACAATTGGATTTTGGAACATCCAAGGCTTGCAAGAAAAGCTTTATAGTGTTTCCTTAAATGAATACAGTAGAGCGTCGATTTTCCGAAAGTCAATCATCCGAAAGATTTCCAGTCAGCAAATTTAAATTTTCGCCAGTGCTATGGAACTTCAATCTTTGGCTATGTCTTGGGCTACTCAAATATTTTACGTTTTTGATACTAAATTAACTTCTGAAGTATAATTTTTTATTGTTTTTATATTTTTCAATATATTTATTTTGTTTGTACAAAATAAAAAA